ATAGTTGCGTGATTCAAAGCTTGTCAACAACTTCGCACTATGTGGCCTTGAAATCTCCCCAGGAAATTAAAAACAGCTTGGTCTTGTCACAGTAAAGACCATAACACTTGTTGAATGAAGGACTCATGTATAGTTGAACTTCTATGAAGAATAATATCGTAACTTCAGCGGCCGTTAATTGCTGAATTATTGGACAGGTGAAGTGGAAATAAGCTTGATTTAGGGGTAGTTTTCAAGTGGCATCTGACGCCCAAAAAAGGCAGAGCCCAGAAATGTTTTTTATGTTTATTATAGACCAAAGGGTTGGTAAACAGGGAATAGCAAAATTATTGTCAAAGCTTTCTGGCAAGGAGAGATATTTGATCTCAAAATCAGCAAGTATTTGAATGGCTAAAAAGGTGGTCCCATATTCAAGGCCGGTGATTGACAAGCTGTCAATCAAATTGACTGAAACTTACATCCTTGCATTGGTCAAAGATGTATACACATAGATACAAACCTTCATAGTCAAAGGTTAAAAGCAGTTGTCCTGAAAGCTTTCTACTTTTGCCGGTTATTAATGCACTTTTATTGGTAAAAATCTAATTAAAACAGTTGGCTGGGCTATCTCCCACCATAAAGATCCAAAATGTTAACCAGTTTGTCATTTTGAGTTTTGGGGTACACCCTTTAAACTGAAAGAGTTTCGTTGAAATCGGAGAGATAGCATGTAGCACACCTGCCTGGTGCACCCATGGACTCACTCTTAAAACAATAGCAATAAAATGGAAAAAGAAGCTGCAAGTCTAAAAAACAAAAAAAATCCTTCAAAGAATAAACCCGACAGCCTTAAACCACAGGCATTAAAATGGAAAAAGAAGCTGCAAGTCTAAAAACAAAAAAATCGTTCATAGCCTAAACCCGACAGCCATAAACCGAACGCAATAAAATGGAAAAGGAAGATGCAAGTCTAAAAACAAAAAAAATCCATGAAAACCTAAACCCGACAGCCTTAAAGCAATAGCAATAAAATGGAAAAAGAAGCTGCAAGTCTAAAAACAAAAAAAATCCTTCAAAGCCTAAACCCGAGAGCCTTAAACCGAAGGCAATAAAATGGAAAAAGAAGCTGCAGTTCAAAAAACAAAAAAAATCAATGAAAACCTAAACCCGACGGCCTTAAACCAAAGGCAGTGAAATGGAAAAAGAAGCTGCAAGTCTAAAGACAAAAAAAAATGTTTCTAACCCTAAACCCGACAGCCTTAAACCAAAGGCAATGAAATGGAAAAGGAAGCTGCACAACTAAAAACAAAAAAAATCCATGAAAACATAAACCCGACGGCCTAAAACCAAAGGAAATAAAATGGAAAAAGAAGCTGCTAGTCTAAAAACAAAAAAATCCTTCAAAGCGTAAACCCGACAGCCCTAAACCAAAGGGAAAAGAATAGAGAGAAAAGCTGCCACTTTAAAAAGAAAAAAAATCCTTCAATGACTAAACTCGACAGCCTTAATGCAAAGGCAATAAAATGGAAAAAGAAGCTGCAAGTCTAAAAAATAAAATCCTTCAAAGCTTAAGCCCGACAGCCTTAAACCACAGGCAATAAAATGGAAAAAGAAGCTGCAAGGGTAAAAACAAAAAAATCGTAGAAA